TACAGGGCCAGATCTTCTGTCCTCTCTGTTTGGAGTCTTCCTCAGGTTTCGCGAAGGAAGAATTGCATTGGCTGCTGATGTGAAAGAAATGTACCACATGCTTTGCCTCCCTGACCATGACAAGCCAGCGATGAGATTCTCATGGAGGTACTCTCTGAGAGAAGAACAAGTGTGTATCAGTTTGAGAGATCAGTGTTTGAAGAAGTGTCTGCACCATCTAGAGCGAACTATACTATGAGGCGAAATGCTGATGAGAATGGCAGAGATTTACCTCTGGGTGTGAAAGCAGTCTACAAGCACTTTTATATGGATGATGGCTTACCATCAACAGATTCTCGTGAAGAGGCTATTGAAATGCGGAAGCCGTGGAGGTTTCCACTTGCACAAGTGGCTGACGAATGACCCAGACGTCTTGGCGACCATCCCGGAGCAAGATAGATCTCCAAGATTCCTCAAGCTGAGTGAAGACAAGTTGCCAACAGACAGAACTTTGGGCATCATTTGGGACGCCCAGGAGGATATGCTCCGGTTTACCGGACTTAAGGGTGATCCAGGTAACACAATGAGGAAGATCTTGAGCCAAGCATTCTCTGTTTGGGATCCACGAGGACTCCTCCCATTCTCTATCAGAAGTAAGATCATCTTGCAGAATCTGAATCGTGTGAAGTATGGGTGGGATGATGAGTTGAAAGAAGTTGATCTTCGAGAGTGGCGTGAATGGCACAGGGAAGCTGTTGGAAATGCGATTTTTCTTTATTCTCAACTGAACACAACGATTTACATGGAGGACAAAATCCTCCTTTTCGCACATGGTCTGAAAGGAGCGGTCGCTAATTCTCATAAAGTGGTCACTCGGTCCTCCGCGACACTCCCCAGCCAAGAAGTTCTAACTGTCAATGTTCGGGATTAAAGGAAATCTTTTCAACAGAACGAAATGGAGTTATCATGGCCAAAAAAATTTAAGAAACGGGATAACAATATGCGATCAGGATCAAATGTTCAACAGTGTTTAGGGCTTGTCTTGCTTCAATGGCTGCCTTCCGGATTGGGTGCTCAGTGGTAAGTTTTTTTTAGCTTCTCTAGTGGCTTGCATCATACTGGTCATCCTCACTTCGGCTGGGCTGGATTGGGCTTTCTCGTTGTTCAGCACATTCCAGGGGAAACAAGAAGTTGAGCGTACGGCTTAGCAACTTTCCTGTAGCTGTTCAGATTGTTGCGGCTCTCATTTTCCCGTCTGTACTTGAAATTAGTTCCTTCACAACAGCTAACTTCGAGGTACCTCGTGGCATGTTTTCCTTCAGAAGTACAACGTCTCCTTTAGTGGGTTGGTTTGAGGATTGTGTCTTGGGAGCTTTTAAGTGGTTCTGAGTCCGTCCACATGAACTCAGAACATACTCATTGAACCATAGGTTCCAAAACGTGTCAAGATGTTTCTGACCCTTATGCCACATGTCAAGGAGTTTTTGTGAAGAACTCAATTTGCTAAGGAAATCTGGGTCTTGCTGTTGATCTTCTTCTGCTAGGGATGATACACCTGTTTTTGGGGTAAGGCTGAGGAAATCTCCTGGGGTGAGTGTGAATCCAGAGCTGAAGTCAGCTCCTACGTAGACTAATGGCCAGGAATTGATTACTGCTTCAACTTCCTTTACCACAGTTTCCAGTTGAACTATAGTAAGACAAATCTTTTTAATACTCTTTCGAAGAGACAGTTTCACAAGACCGATAAGTCTTTCATAGAAACCACCCATCCAGGGGGCCAGTTCAATGGTGAAGCTCCACTTTATGCCTTCGTTGGCCAGGTAACTTTGTGTGTCAGGACTTGTCATGGAGAGTTGCCAAGCTTCTTTAACAGTCAACTTTACTACTTTGAACTGGGAAGCATTGTCGGAAATTATCTGTCTTGGTTTTCCAGGCGTGGCAATGAATCTTCTAAGGCACAACAAGAATTTTTCAGCGGTCATGTCATGAACGACTTCTAGGTGAATAGCCCTAACAGCTAAACAAGTAAAAAGACACAACCAGACTTTTTGGGTTGCTGATGGCTGACTGACTTTCACATACAAGGGTCCAAGATAGTCAAGACCATGCAGTGTATGTGAAGGGTGGAGATTCTTCTATTCATGATCATGGATAGAGAGCCATTGCGGGCATTCGGTATGGTCCTCCTTGATATCGTCTACATCTCAAACATTTGAGTAGAACTCTTCGTACAGATGATCTTCCTTGTGGAATCCAGAACTCTCTTCTGCTAGCCGCTAAAGTGTGAGATACACCTGCATGCATCAGCTTTTCACGGAAGCTGTTGATGACTAAGCTTGTGAAGTCATGGTTCCTTGGAAGGAGTTTTGGGATTGCAGTATATTCTGGGAGGTTTTCACTGATTAATCTACCATGGCACCTTAGTACTCTGTGTTCATCCAACTGTAGGCCCAATTGGTTCGTCAGATTATTTCTTGAATTTTGTTTGACTGCATTGATTTCTGGTGTAAATGCACTCTTTTGGACATACTTCTCTCACATGACCTTTGCTTGACTTATTTCGTCTGATGTAAGCTGTTGTTTGGTTGTGCTCTTCTTCTGTAGTTTTCGGATAAACCGCAAGGCCCAAGCGCTCACTCTAAGTAGTTTGGTAAGCGAAGAGTAATTTCTTTTGCTCATCCCAAAGGGTGCAACTGGCTTGTCGAGTGATGTTTTGCTGGTCTCTCTTGGTATTCCAGCCAGTGTTGTGGTCTCATACATTACACGTGGGCCAGGAAATTGTTTGGTATTCTGTTCAGACATCTTGCTGTCAAATTGTGTTGACTTCCATGACGGTCATTGTGACGGATGATCAGTTAACCATGATGGGCCATGCCACCACAAGTTATTCTGGATAACTTCATCTGCTGAGACACCTCTGGTAGACAGATCGGCTGGATTTTGTGAAGTGGACACATAGTCGAACTTGATGTCCCTGTATGAGGTAATCTCTCTAAGTCGGTTCTGAACAAACACAGGTAATGGCTTACAGGTTGTTATCCAGTGAAGTACACACTGTGAGTCGGTCCACAGAAATCTATCTGCCACAGACAAATGAAGTTGCTGAGTTACATAGTTCAAGCATCTCATTCCAATAAGAACACCTAGCAGCTCCAACCTGGAATGCTGAGTTGTTTGGCTGGTGCGATGCGTGCTTTCGAAAATACCAGGTTGACAGTCCCTTTTCCATTTACTGAAGAGTCGAGGTATACTGCTGCTGAATAGGCTTTGGCAGAGTCATCTGTGAAGGAGAACAGTTTGTGTTCATCTCCACCAACATATCTGGGTAATGGCTGTGAGGACAATGGAGTCAGGCTCTCATATATCTTGTTCCATTCTTGTTGACTTGACTGACTGAATGTCTCGTCCCAATGTTTTTCTTGTTTCCACAGTTCCTGAATGAACAGCTTTGCATTCAGTGTGGCAGGGGAAAAGAGGCCCAATGGGTGGTAAATTCTGCTGACAGATGGCAATGCTTCTCTTTGGGTGTTCACGTTGGAGGAGAGATTATGAGATCCATTGATAAAAATGGTATCTGTAGTCAAATTCCAGGAGGTTCCTAGGACTTTCACGGTTTCTGCACTGGTTCTATCACATTCTGAGATGTTCTGGAGAAATTCAGGAGTTTAAAGCCCACTCACGAAGATTCATTGATGCAGATTAGAAGAGGGTTTTGGCTTCTTCGTACAGCTCCTCTGCTTGTGTTGATGTTTCAACGCCTGTAATCATGTTGTCTACGTACATATTATCTGATGAGCGATGGGGGTACCAGCCTTGGTTAGACGATTCTTGATAGTTGCAGCCAAAAGAAATGGACTGGATATCATACCGAGTGGGACTCTGGTGAATCTCAATATTTGAACATTGTTCTCAACAGTAGGCTTGGAAGGGTCTTTTAACCAAAGGAACCTTGTTACATCTCTATCATCAGGTTGCAGACCCACTTGAAGGAATGCTTTCTCTACATCTGCAACAAGAGCCACTTTGTGAAGCCTGAACCTCAAGAGAAGGCCACATAGATCCTCCAATATGACAGGGTCATGGTGAAGGCTTTCGTTTAGGCTTTGATTTTTCTTCCTGGTCTTTGCGGAGGCGTCAAACACTATTGTAAGTTTTGTTGTTGTCTTCTCAGGTGTCAGTATTTCGTGATGTGGAATGTAATGTTTCAAGGTGTTTTTACAATCTTCATCTGGGACGACTTCCACAATTCCCTTCTGCACTTGGTCCTGGATTACGGCATCATATTTCTGGAGATGTTTGTCATTTCGTGACAGTCTATTGACTTGGGATCTCAACCTTCCCATTGCCAGTTCATAATTGGTTGGTAATGATGGAGACTCCTCTTTCCAAGGCCAGGTTACTTGGTACCGTCCGTCTTCAAAGTGGATTGTTTCGTTAAATTTTTGCAAAGCTTTGTCATCTTCATTTTCTTGTACAGGCTCTCTGATGCCCAGGGTCTCAAGCTTCCAAAACTCTTCAAGTTGTGTCTTTTGTGCAGCTAATGGCTGCTTGTCATCAGACTGAGCACTCAGATGTACACTGATAGGACTGGACGTGTAGGTCAGCATTGAGATGGAGCTGTCTGGTTTGTCATCATGACATTTCACTCTGCCTGTTAGGATCCATCCCAACTTGGATTCCATGAGGTTTAAACCTGGACTGACTGCTTTCGTTGGAATGTCACCAGAGAAAATATCACAGTAATCATCATTTCCTTGCAATAGTTCTACGTTGGCAGTTTCTGTAGTTGAAGGTACTGAATCGGCAAGGGGGATATCCTTCAGTAGGTGACTGAATTTCTCTGGGTTGAAGTACGTTCGTTGTAGGTTACCGGTTATTGTGCATATACAGATGATACAGTAGAGTGTGGTCTTATTGCGGGAAAAGGCCATGTTGTCCCTTTAAAGTTACAGTCTATCTGCCGACTGGAGCTCATGGGAGCTCTAGTAGCCATGCGATTAGCTCAAACACTGGTGAGAGAAATGACCATTAAGACAGAGAAGATAATCTTCTGGAGTGACTCCACCACAGTCTTACATTGGATCCACCAGATAAGTTCCACGTATAAAGCATTTGTCAGAAACCGGGTGTCTGAGATTCACACAGTTATGAGCATTCTGGAGGCCACACTGGGGATGGGCACAGTGAGTTGGAGATTTGTACCTACAGAGGTTAATCCTGCAGATGACATCTCCCGTGGACTAAGTCCTACAGAACTTTGCAAGGGTTTTCGTTACAGTAGTGTACCCAAGTTCCTGTATGAATCAGCACAACTGTGGCCAGAGAATAAAGTTGAAGCACCCTCCGAGATAGATGAAGCAAGTGAAAGGAAGAAGGGAAGATGGGCTGGAGCATCTCAGGAAAATGAGATCCTGTTAGGATGGAAGAAGTATTCTTCTTTGACCAAACTAAGAAGAGTTACAGCTTATGTGATGCAATTCGCAAACAATGCAAGAATCAAGAAGGAAGCACGTCTACTGGGAACACTTACTTGAGTGAACTGAGAGCTGCTAAGAATTATTTGGTGAAGAGGGCACAATTTGAGTCATTCAGCGAAGAGATAGTGTCTAGAGATGGGTAAGGAGATCCACAAGAAAAGTAGAATCAAATCTCTTGATCTGCAAATGGAAGATGGACTCTTAGTTGTTGGTGGAAGATTTCAGAGAGCACAATGCTTACCATACAAAGTACGAAATCCCAAAATAATTGACTCACGCCATGAGCTTGCACAGCTAATTGTGGAGGAAATACATCGTATCTACCACCACCCGCCAACTGAACACTTGCATAATCAAATCAGGCAGGAGTATCGGATCATCCATGGCCGTCAGGTGATGCGAAACGTGAAGTTCAAGTGTAACTACTGTTTTCGCCAGACAGTAAAACCTCAAGAGCAGCGAATGGGAAGTCTAAATGAGTGCAGACTTGAGCCAGGAATGGTGTTTTCGGGAAAAATATACGTTCGGAAGATGATTATTTTGAGATCTAGAATTTTCGTAACACCTCCTATAGAATTTCTTGTTTGCCTTCCTCTCCTAGAATTTTCGATCATATAAAAATGGTATAGTAGCTCATTTTAAACAGGTTTTTACCCTATAAGATCAGGTATAATTGGGGTGTAGGGGGCTCTGGATAGAGGTAGTACCTTTGTCGTCTGGCAGCTGCATCCTACTTGGTAGGGTGGACGGGCACACTGGTCCTCATCCATCTCCTAAATCTCTCACGTGCTGGCTCCAAGCGCCACACCCCGGCACACCGCCTCAGCTGGCGGGCTAAACCACGTGAGGGGGTGATGTTTACACTGCATCACTACTAGGCGGAGGAGCTGCTCCAGGCAGCCAACGGCTAGAGGGCGGAGGAGATCTGAAGATCCAACGGCCATGTGTAGGGGAGTAAACCCTTCAAATCAGGAGTGGAGCCCCGAAGGCGGACCAGCGTGCAGTGCTCACTGACTCCGGCAGCTCCTGCAGCCAACCTGGTGCCAAACGTACTGCTCTGCATTCCTTTGGACTACACCGGCGAGGCCGAGAGGGGGGTCCTGTCGACTGGGCAACCCAGGATCTCCACACACTCCGCCCAGGCTTGCGCCCTGGAGAGGTCACTCCAGTGCCGCTGTTCCAGCGACAGAAACAACACGGGAGACAGCAGATACCGGTTATANGTCTGTACACGAGCGAGCCAAGACAAAGGTGCGCAAAGTCCTCATCCGGGAGATGCTCTTCGCTGATGATGCCGCCATCACAGCTCACACCGAAACTGCCCTCCAGGAGCTCATCAACTGCTTTGCCCATGCCTGTTCACAGTTTGGCCTCACAATCAGCATAAAAAAGACCAACATCCTGGGCCAAGACGTCAGCACTGCTCCGAGCATCTCCATAGGTGACTGTACCCTTGATGTGGTGGAGGACTTTACCTATCTTGGGTCCACCATCTCCAGCAACCTCAGCCTGGACACCGAGCTGAACAGGAGGATCGGCAAGGCCTCAACAGCTATGGCCCGCCTGACCAAGAGAGTGTGGGAGAACACTATGCTCACCATCACAGGAAAAAAACCTAAATTCCCAAACTTGGTAAATACATGGTATCTTAACAATACCAATATAAAACCAAGAATTTACCAAAGTTGGTAAATACTATAACTGGGAATTACATTTCTTCAACTTGGTAAAAGTCACTTCCCAATTTCAATGCTTCTGTGAGTTGGTTAAATCTTGGTAATTAAGGATCAAGTGCAAAAGCAAAATTCCCAACACTGGTATTTTCTTGGTAAGTCCATTATTAACCATGGCAAGCAACAAAGATTAAAATACCAAATTTGGGATTAGCTTGGTATGCAGAGTTTTAATTTGGGAAATGCTTGGTAATGCTGAGAGAGAGAAACAAGTCAGAAATCCCAGTTTGATTAAACTTGGGAAAGAAACTAACTCAGTTGGGAATATGTTGGTAAAAATGTTAAGCAACCAAGATTAATATCCCAAATTTGGGACAAGTTTGGTATGCAGAGATTTAACTTGGGAAATACTTGGTTATGCTGATACTGAAAACATGTCAGAAATTCCAGTATAATTAAACTTGGGAAAGAAACTAACTCAGTTGGGAATATGTTGGTAAAAGTAGTGTTAAAAATGTCAAGCAACAAAGATTAAAATCTCTAATTTCTCACAAGCTTGGTATGCAGAGATTTAGTTTGGGAAATGCTTGGTAATGTTGATCATGAACTGAAATGTCAGAAATCCCAGTTTGATTCAACTTGGGAAGTAACTCAGTTGGGAATATGTTAATAAAATTAAAATACAAAGTAACAAAAATAAAACTTTCAAAATTGGGACAAATGAAGGTCATTTTATTTGGGAATTTAATGCTTGGTAATGTTGGTATACGAACAAAGCTAGAAATCCAAGTTTTACTATAATATCACCTTAATTTCAATGTTTGCTTACAATAATGTGTTGGTAAAATTTAATAAACTATTAAAATACTTAATGCCAAAAAAAGAAAGGGAAATGCTTAGTATTAATTGAATTTAAAAAAAAAAAAGAATGCCAGAATCTCAGTATGTATATGTTGTAGTTCAATTTTGATTTTCTATTGTTCTTTTCTATGCTAAAAAATGATAATGAACTAAAAACAAAGGAAAATCAAAATCGAACCAAAGATAAAATTGAACAACAATATATATATAATTATATATATATCCTCACTACTTCCTTCAACTGGAAATATATAAGAAACATACTTAAGAGTACATGTAATTGCCCAGGATTCCCATTACTGTCAGCAGCTGATTAAATTAAAGCCACCTACTTTTCAGGGTAAAAGGCAGACTTTGTGTGTGTCGCTCAATAACACTCAACTTAGTTAAAACTAGCCATCTATTCAGGAACTTAGGGGGAATCTAGCTTACCTAGAGATATAATTGTAAAATTGAATATTAATGTATCATTTAGCACACTAGATAATTCTGAACAAAGCGGGAGTCTTCTGTACATATCATTTGACATAAAAATTGCAGCCAATGTTGTACCAATGTATCAAATTAAGTTGTACCACTATGACAGAAAAAATATATTATATTCATAAACAAATTTCAGATGATTTGTTTGCATGTCAACAGCCTTTTGATGATATGCCAATCAATGATTGAAAGTCAATGAAAGAATACCAGAATGTTCAAAACCTTTGCTGATCAATAATTCCAAGTTGATCCATGTAATTATATTATGTGACAAGTTGCTACTTATTTATAAATGTAAACCAATACGTATTATTCACAGTGTTTCCTTTAATTCCCACATTCCATTTGGCATCCAGGTGCCCTGAAGGTCCTTTACTATGCAGTCCCAGTGGACACTATGGATTGTGGAACTTTCCTTGATAAATTTTTTTCCTCCAGGCCATCTTGGATGTTCCTTTAAGAAATGAAGTCCGACCATCTTATCACCCTCTTGGACAGTAATAATTTTGGCTATCCACTGAACATCATTTTCACCTAAAATGAGTACCATGTCATGTTTCTTTGGGTAAAATGGAACAACAACAAATTCCTTTTGAGATGGTAATGAAGGCATGTCAAAGTCTATCAAAACAACTTGATGAGGAAGGGATCGGTCCACATACAAAATCACCTTTCTAAAAACGTCAATGCTATTGACCATCTGAATGGTTTGGGACAAACATAGATACTGGCTTTGACTTCCAGGATGGTATTTTGGGTGACCATTGTCATCTGTTACATGCTGATATAACTGAACTTCCACAAATAAATGGACAGTTTCAGTAATATCTCCATTCTGAATGATCACAGAATGAATGTCACTTATTCTGCCTGTCCTTTCCTCGTTGTTCACCCAGAGCATTGCATTTTCTCCTTTTCTGTACAGCACGTGAGGAACACCAGGTTCTTTCCCAGGCTTTAGAAGGCTCTTACATCTTTTAGTGACAGAAGGGAAAGTGTAATATTCAATTTCTGCTCCACGATTACTGATATCCTGGAATATTTCTTGTCTTTGAGATTCAGAAATCACTTGAAATTCTTTGTTTTTTCTACCAATTAGTATTCCATCTTGAACATCAATCAAATTGTCATGCACATGCACAATCAAATGGTTACCTTTATCTAATGAGGGGACTTGTTTTAACTTGATGCCTGAATCAATTTCCTTCAATGTTAGGACAGGTGTACTTTTTCCTTTTCTTGAAATGTCTAAATTCTGAAGAACTTCTCTCCTTGTTTCATTGTCACTGTATGTCTTCTCAATGTTGCGATGATTGGTTGACTGGTTAACATATCTTTTAACAGCTCTTTCTAGGTCAAAAACCCAATAATTGTCTGGTGATGAAAAACGGTATATATCATCAGCAACATGAATCAAATTGTGCTCTGTAATGACACAAGCTTCCAAACCAAATGTCTCTTCCACCAAAATATTGTGACGCCAGGCTAATTTATTAAACAGTTCAATATTCTTGTAGGTCCAGCCTTGGGTACGACAACAGTTAAAAACCATTGTTACCATTTGCACTAGTAGTGCCATTGTGCGGGTAGCAGACTACTGATAGTGTGCATAAAGTTATTATACCCCTCCACCAGACCCCCAGACCCCCCCCCTTCCACTTGACATTTTTTTCTGGTAAAAGTTGAGCAATGTACAGTACTATAGGGAGCAAATAATCATCTCCCTACACTTCAACAGTAGTACAGGCAAATGTATGGGAAAAGTTGAAAACATAATTACAGACTTTCTAGCTCGGTTTTTTTCCTCGAATTTAAGACAGTAATATTTTGCCTGGTATTCTTAAAATTTTCCCATTCATTATTTGTACGAAGTATCTTACGTAAATATTTGATATCAGAATTCAGACTTTTCCCACACAGACATTTTGTTTTGCCCCTCGTTTGCACCATTTTATTAAAAGATGGCGGATTTCAGTGACCGCGGAAATATTATTTTGTCAGTTTGTGAGTCTTCCACCAAAATAAATAAGCTTACCATGA